TAATTGAGGCCGGCTAGATCAGTCATGATCGCAGCCGTAACAAGTTCAAGTATTACGCCGCTACCTACACGACAACCTCAGGTAGATAGTATTGTCGGCAAGGTCTAGGGCGATAGGAATGACCCCTTCTGGTGCATTAGCCGTCACCAGTCAGTCATAGTCAACCCCTAAATGGTGCGCCAAACGAGGCTTTCATGATTTTTTATGAGTGAAGCAGTTTGAAAAGTCTTCGGAAAATCGAGTTGTACTCATGAGTTGTCGAGCAGGCCGTCAGTTTGTCTACCTGGCACCCTCTCCCCCCCCCACCCAGCAATCTCATTCTTCGCCGATGCTACCTGCTTGAAAATTCACGAGTACAAGTCGATTTTCCGAAGACTCTCTTTCTTTTCAGCACAAATACGTCTTTTAACATGCATACATACAGTATCTTTCAGTCGCACGGACTGTTGACTGAAAGTCTGAAATTTGAAATGACCATAACTGATACTGCTCTCTGGCTGTGTCTCTGATGACGAATCCGCGACTGATCTCGAAACATCAGGCGAATAAAAGTATAGTCCCAGCGATCGAGTCGTCTTCTTCTTCTCAATTCTGAAATGTGTTTTTGATTCAAAAATATTACTTGCTTTACATCCTGAAATTTAATATCGCGCAGCCTGATCTTAAGATAGTTCAGTCACTTCAAGACTACAACTTTTTAACGGGCCTGCAAAAGGCATCCGCTGTAAAGCATTACTATTTAAGTAGATTTTATTTTTTCTCAGTGATTTTTGATTCACTTATGCATTCGAATATACTTTATAGAAAAGTTGCACACAAGTATAGGTCCCTGTGGTCGTTCGGTCTGAAATTATACTTTTCTTTCAAATTTCATTCCTAAAGATTTTCTTTGTTGATATTTATAAAGTTGCTAATTTCTTACCACCGCGGAACGTTCATTTCTACTATATCTTACCCGTCAATGTAGTAATTTTGCCTTTATAAAGTGCAACGTGTCCAAAATGCAGAAGACAATTTTAAGCGACTTTGTTCTTATAGCATAGAAAAATGTGCGACTTTATTTATACAGAATGTATGCAGCAGCTAGTTGTTCTAGTTCGGAATTAGTAGGCAACTTGGAGACTATTTTTAAACAAAAAGATACCCATTCTTTAGGCATAACCTTGAAGAAGACCTACTTTTTTGCCTAGCGAGTACAAGAGGTAATAGGTTTGTGCTTGCGCTTCTACAAAGTATATTTGAATTCATATTGTCATCAAAAAATCAGTGAGAAAAATGCGTACCAATTAAATAGACGTTTTTGCCGAGTATGATTTTCACAGGCCTCCAAAAAGACGCTGGAAAGACTGAAGTAGCCTGAAGGTAGACTGTAGGCTAGTTAATATTACAACGCTGCTTAAGCGGTTCGTTCGAATCAAAAAGGTATTGGAGAAATTCGGGTGACTTTTTATGCGATAAGGGAATATACTTTACTGATGTTATGGCTTTTCCACTCAACGACAATATTTTATGACGCCGTCCTCGTCGTGCTCCAGAGGGATATACAGAGCCGTATGAACTGCGTGACCAGGAACTATCGACTGATTGTCAGAGCAGTCACGAAGCGTTCGTAACATTATTTTTTGATTTGTAGGCTAGTTAATATTACAACGCTGCTTAAGCGGTTCGTTCGAATCAAAAAGGTATTGGAGAAATTCGGGTGACTTTTTATGCGATAAGGGAATATACTTTACTGATGTTATGGCTTTTCCACTCAACGACAATATTTTATGACGCCGTCCTCGTCGTGCTCCAGAGGGATATACAGAGCCGTATGAACTGCGTGACCAGGAACTATCGACTGATTGTCAGAGCAGTCACGAAGCGTTCGTAACATTATTTTTTATGTTCTTGGGCGTTGTCTCAGAACTGCTATTGACCAGCGCTTCACGGTTGGCCGCCGAGGGTGCCGGTTTGACTAATACTTCACTGCACATAAGAGCAGGAATTATTCCCCCCCCACCCTTCCGTACTTGCTCATATTTCAATCATTTTCCACTTCAGAATTTTGATAATCGGACTCTCGCAATCAGGTCTAAAAACCACACTCATAATTTACCTACACACAGGACACGATCAAGTTGGAGATTTCAGTGCAAGAAAGTCTACTTGCGCACCTACCCTGACCACAGCACACAAAGTCCAGTCCGGAGAAGCGTCGTAGGGCCTCAGGAGGAGACCCTCCCCCCTCTGCCTCCTCACAGGGCTCAATTGGATAAGCAGAGAAGAGGTGTTGACTGGCGTTCCTATTGCAGACGTCTCTGGCCCGAATTTCCCACTCCGGCTGGCTGAGACACACTGACAGCGATGCGTTGCCTGTCTTGGTAGGAGACAACATTACTGGTAGACGATGCAGATGGCAGTTGGAGGGGATGTGCAGGGCGGGGTGGTGTTCAAAGGTTGCTGCAATGGAAAGCATTGGTGCTTGTCAACGAAGCGTTGGCAATTTTCATGAATTGCATAAAAGCTATAACTGTGACGAGTAGTGTGAGGCACGCATGCGGTGGCATGAGGATGACTGTGCTTTTGGTGTTAAAATGGATGAAAAAAGGAAAATAATGATGATGGGGAGAAGAAGAACGAAAAGAAGGAGGAGGAAAAAGAAGAAAAAGACGAGAAGAAAAAAGGAGAAG